GTTTCAAGAGGGCCGAGTGTGAACGCGAGAGCAGAAGATCAGGAAAAACAGACGACAGGAAGAGGAGAAAGTGACAGTCGGGGTGGGAGAGTGACAGAAGCACGCTGTCAGTCTCTGGGCCAAATCATGAGGAAATTTACCAAAGTGTTTCCTATTCCACTGCAGTGTTTACTCAGCAGCTGCAGTTTCTGATTTATTTATGAAACCATGTTCTTACAAACCTGAGCCGCAAACTAAAGAGCAGCAAATATAACCAGACCAAAGAGTTTCTGAGTCAGCATCACTCTGTAGCTGCTGTCCAGCCGAGGCAGACCTGGGATCAGCTGCAGAGCTGAGAGGAGTCCCCACCGCGTGATGAAGCTGTGGACTCCCTCTGCATGCCCTTCTTGGGTCGGCTTCAGTCTTACTCTGTGTGTGTGTGTGTGTGTGTGTGCTGCAGCGTATTTTGTCTTTATATGGCTCTCGGCTCTCTGCTGCTTCTGCTCAGCGCTTCAACGACACGGCGCTGAAAAACCTGAGCTGTGACTCCAGCTGATCCACGTGGTTACATCAGCTTCATGATCCTGACCAATCGAAACGACAGGAACAGAGTAACCTCACCACACACACACGCACACACACGCACGCTCTGATAATCAGTTAATCTGCTTCATGCTGAATGAGTCACGGTGACTGTAGGTGATCTGTATGAGTGGATGGAGGAGGTGTTTGCAGGTCTGCAGGTCTCTGAGAGTCGTGAGATAATAAAACTCAAGCCGCTCGTGGGTTTAACAGCTGAACACTTTTCCCAGCAGCAGCTCTGCAGGTGGTTTCATCCCTCTTGAAGACGACCTCTGACCTCTGTGGAGGTGCCGTGTGTTTGCAGGATTCCAGTAAGGATGGAGGAGCCCACTACACTGTGGTGTGAATGCTGTGGGTGTGGGTGCTCTGTGACGACTCTTCTTCTGTTTTAAAGTAAGGACAGATTTAAAACCCTGACTCTATTTTCAGACTTTCATTGCTACAGTTATGATGGACCATAAACTGGTGTTTGCTCACTGCAGCCTGTTCCTGTCATGAAGGTGAGCAGGTGGCAGTGTTCAAGGTGTCCACATGTTTCAGGTGAGCTGATGAAACACTTCCTGTGAGTTCAGAGTGCACTTCTTCCTGCTTTACTCCAAACGTCTCAGATTCTCCCACACAAACATTTCTCTCCTGTGTGTGTTTGTTTTTCTCTCTCTGATCAGAAGGTCAGGTCAAAGGTCAGGATGGAGTATGTCCTCAGTTTCCTGTTGGACCATGATTGTGTTTCTGTGTGAGAGTCAGTGCTGCCCTCTGCTGGAGGACTTGGTCCATCACACTCTGAGCCTCAGAGTGAAGCTGTTCCTCTGCCCTGCGTTACAACATCTATGCATCCACACAGGGTAAGTGGACCGACTCTTACACAGCACCTTTCTGCTCTCCCACAGTACTCAAAGCGTACAACACGCCACATTCACCCAGTCACACTCACTCATACACGCATGTCTTCTAAGATTGTTGTGCTTCCTTACTAACATTCATATATTCATTCTCTGATGGATGCATCTGAGAGCAATTTGGGGTTAGTATCTTGCCCAAGGAAGGAGCCAGGGATCGAACCAAACAGTAGATGGCCACCCACCCATCCATTCATCCACCCACCCATCCATTATGAAGCAGCTCTGAGGAGATGGTTTAAATAAAGGTTTCATTTCAGGTCCTTTAGTCTAGGTGAGGAGGAACTCACTCTGCACGAGGAGCGTCCACGCTGCAGAGTCCACCGTCAGCCCGTCAGCGTTGGTCAGCTGACACCTGTACGTGCCCCGGTCCACCCGTCTCACCCTCTCCACCGTGAGAGTGAGACGGGTGCCGTCTCGTCTCTGCCGCAGACCTGATCCCGTCCTCACGGGCCCCCCGTCCTTCAGCCAGGTGACCACGGCCCCGGCAGCAGAGGAGGACACTGTGAGGAAGAGGAGAGGCGGCTCACACTCACAGGATCTTAAAGTCACAGTAAAGCTGTGGAGGAGCTGAGACCTGAAAAGAAACCTTTATTTAAATCATCATTAACCATCTCCTCAGAGCTGCCTCGTGTCAGTGATTCCACCTTCACAGTCTGAGGCGTTTCTCACCTTGGCAGGTGAACGTGACCTGAGCTCCCTCTGTGGCCTCCTGGTCCAGGGGGACGGTCTCGAACCGCAGGTTGGGACCCGCCTTGGACGTCCTCACCGGCCTGAAACACACAGGTGATCCTGAACACACCTGAAAGTAGACGGGACTTCACATTTAAATAAAAGTGAATTGATCCAAGTTCTGACCTGCTATCTGAGCCGGGTCCTGACTGCTGGACCGAGCAGGTCTGATCTGGATCAGGAGCGTCGATGGACCGGACCTGCAGGGGAGCAGGAGCTCTTTCACTTCATGTCATTCTCTTTCATTTATTCTGCTTTAGATGGCATGAGTTTCAGAAACATTATTATTATTAGTAGTAGTAAAATAACCTGATTAGGTGCAGTTCTCCTCTCAGCCAGCAGAGGGAGCTGTGCAGGTGGTTTGCTCCTCCAGGAGGCGGCCTGTCTGGCCTCTTGCTCCTCGGGCTGGGAGCTGGGAGCAGCTCTGCCCTCCTTCTGGCTTCTGGTTCTGGTCTGTGGGTCGTCAGTGGGCCGGCCGGTCCTGCAGGAGGAACCAGAGTGTATGATCCTGAACATGCCGTCCTCGTTACCGCGGTGACTCTCCCCGTGTGACAGCATGTTTTTAATTCTTTGCAGTCTGGAAATATTTGATTTACTGGTGGATTTATTTTTATGACGTCTCTTTTCTCTTTTCGGTCAGACAGTAAGAAACCTCAGACGGATTATTTGCAGCAGGTTATGAAAAATGAAACCTGCCGGTTAGTGTCCCCACAGGAGTTCAGATTGATGAGGAATCTCCTCTGCTTCCTTCAGCTGCCTCTAACCTGCTGCTGTAAACACTCAAGCAGTTTTCCAGGACAAGTTTCCAGCTCGTGAAGCCAAAAGATCTCAAACTCAGCTGGAAAACTTTAGCAGCAGCAAAGGAAAGAGGAGCCACGTTTTCCAGGAGCTGACGAAGCTCTGAGAGGGACGCTGCTGTCCGTCCACCAGAGGTCCAGACAGGAAACAGCTCTGAGGGATTCTTACTGTTAACACCTGCATCAGACAAGCTGATCCAGACATGACAGCACTCACCTGGAGGAGTCGTCAGGAGCACCTGGAGAAGAGAGGGGAGGACACGTGAGACAGAGAGAACGTCCACATCATCAGCATCCACACAGTCACACGCTCAGAGCGCCTCACCGCCACCAGCTGCTCAACATCAGGCTGTAAACATGTTTGTTTTAACGTGGGGCTGACTCACTGCTGCCTCTGCTGGACAGCAGGGGAACTGCAGCATTTGGTGCTCCGCTGCAGTTTTAAATAATGACAAATGAGTGCGTGTAGCAGCTGAACGACTCTGATTGGCTGCCTCACCCTGGATGGTAAGCTTGGCGCAGGCAGTCGCTGTTCCGGAACCGTTGCTGATCAAACACTTGTAACTTCCTGCATCCTGGACAATCACATCCTTTATCTCCAGGAAGTGAAGGCCTGAGCGCTCGTACATGCTGATCCGCCCACCAGACTGAAGCTCCGCCTCCTCCTGAGAGACAACAGTAAATACTGAGTTAATCAGTAAAAGCGGACAAAGAATCTGTCCTCCAGCCGCCGCTGCGAGTGAGACTGAGATCCCACAGCTTCTCAGCTGTTCCTCTGCAGCTCTGATCTGAAGCTCCTCGTACCTTGTACCAGGTGACCCTGGGCTGTGGGCGTCCTGTGGTTTTGGCGGAGAACTTGGTGCTTTGTCCCGGCTCGGCAAACACTCGGCTCGGTTTGTTGATGAACTTTGGGGGACTCTCACTCCAAATGCTCGGCCTGTTCTCCACAGCAGGAGCTGCAGAGCGACACCTGGAATCATGAGAGATGGAGTTCACATGACCCGGTCCATATCAGTGCTGAAGTCCAGCACCAGGTTTTACCATCGAGCCTGATGAGTTTTCAAAGTGTTCCTTTCATTTTTGTGAGCAGTGTTTTTTGTTTGGGAGGAAAACGTTCAGCCAAATTCAGAGCTGTGTGAAAGGAGTGTCCTCTGAGACATCTCATAGCTGTTTGCACGGCTCACCCTGCTTTCATGGACGGCGGCGCGACGTATTTCTTCCCAGGATTCTCTGCAGGTGGAAAAAGCATCAGATCGAGCTTTCGCTAAACCTTTAAAAAACTTTATGAGTGTTTTTATTTGAACCAAAAGGCAGCAAACAGAAATAAAATGAGGGCATAAAGAGTGTGGGTGTCACATGTCCACAGAGGAAAACCATCCGAACACGTTTTCCTCACAGTGACTGTTTCCTGTCAGAGCTGCTCACGCTCTTACCTTCCAGAAGGATCTCCACGGTAACCTGACGGCTCCCCGCCTGATTGGTTGCCTGACAGGTGTAACTGCCCAGGTCCTCCTCCGTGACCCCTCTCACCAAAAGGCTGAAGTTGCCCCGCCCACCACGTTCCACGATGTAGTGCTCTCCACCAATCATGGCCCTTCCCTCTCTGTACCATGTGACCTGTGGCTCAGGATGGCCACGCACCTGAACGATTCAGACAATGGAGAAAAGCAATCAGCTGATTTCACACAGACTCGTCCAGCTGACTCAGCATCATCCGGCATAACGAAGGCTGTGTCCATCTTTTATATACAGTGTGTGTTTGGTTTGAGGTCAGCGTGACAGAAGCAGACAAGTCCAGACCGAATGTGCAGGACTCTATGAACGAAGAGGACTAAAGACCTCACAGAACTAGGAAAGCAAGTGTGTGTGTGTGTGTCTGTCTCTGTGAGTGTGTGTGTGTGCAGCATGTGGTGGACAGATGTGTTTGAGGACTTTCAGCTGCCATCCGGCTTTGCAGATCCATCCATCATGTTTGGGGATTTGTGGTGCATTCAGGTGTCCTGGGATTCTTCACATGCAGTCAGCAGACAGCCAGAGGAGCTGAAGCAGAAATGAAGAGCGCTGCCTTCAGGTGAAACTTGTCCAGTTTGGCTGTGATTGGGTCTTTAAGTGGTTAAACTGGTATAAAACCACAGGGGAAAGCAGAGCAGCGTAAGAGCCGCTGATTAAAGTCAGGCCAAACACAGAAAATGACTTCAGAGAGCAAATAAAGCAGAAACAGAGTGTTTGGTGTGCTGGGATTGTTGGGAGGCTTCACATCAGGATGCAGCCGGTCACAAGACTGAAGAAATGTTAATCCGTCCGCTCTCACATCCTTCCAGCCTTTCAGACTCTCAGATACAAACACAGTCTCCTGACCTGTGA